TACTCTTCCTAGTTGCTGCTGTCACTTTGATCCCATATAGATAGTACGTCAGAGAGCACAATACATGGGCAGATCTTTATTCTTGGTTAAGCTAAACAACTGTTTGGTTTTGAGAAACTATCAGGGGATATTTTTGTTTTAAGGCTTAAAGATGATCTCAGGACAATAGTTTTAGGGGTTCTTCCACCTTCCTTGGCTCCAGAAAATCTAAAGTCCATGGTTTTGAAATTCTGCCCTGCATTTTCCCTCTTTGGATCAGTATTCTTTAGAATGTTTAATCAAATTGTTTAGTAATGATAGGTGGACACTATCCAGTTCTGTTTCTTAGCAAAAGAGGCAGTTGTTCATGGAGGCAATTAACTACACATCCCACATCTGTCTACTATGTCTACTATTTCAGACATGCCTTCCTCTGTTGCTCCAGGTGAATAGAGATGAATTACTGTGCCTTGCATGCCTTGCATGCTTTGAAGACCCCAGGCATTATGCAACAAACTACAGGTAGAACAGAAGCACAAAACACGTAACTAGGCCAATTAACTGGGATATCCTATGAAGACACAACCACTTCCCTAGGATTTTTTTTTTTCAATGACTGATTTTTCAGAAACATATTACCAGGGGCTGCTTCTGAGGTGCCCATTTTCATTAAAAAAAAAGTGACTTTTTTTGTAAAATGTAGTGCTACATTTTACTGAGAACCTATCTTCTTCCAGGCCATCCCAAAATCTTAGATTTCTCATTCAATGTTCTGAGGCCCTGAGAAGGATGGTATGGGGCAGGCAGTGGTTAAGTAGGGGTTACCCAGACCTGTATTCACATCTCCACTCTACAACTCACTGACAAACTCCTTAACCTAATTAACCCACAGAATTACCATATGTGCCTGCCATTCCCTTTCTTGATACATACCCAAAAGAACCAAAATCGGACTAAAGAATGCACATGAACATACATGTTCAGAGTAGCATTCTTCACACTAGCTAAAATGTGAAACAACCCAGCTGTCCATCAATGGATGAATGGATGAACAAAATGTACTACACATCCAAACAACGCCATATTACCCAGCCATGAAAAGGAGCAAAACACTGACACAGACTACAAAGTGGATGGACCTCAAAAAAGACAAAGTCAAAGATACTAGATACAAAAGGTCACATATTGTATGGTTCCATTTATATAACTACTGGAATAAATAGAGTTCTGGTGTGGCACTGTAGGATAAGCACTGGACCACAAGATCGGTTTGAACCACAAGGTTTGGATCACAAGGTCAGTGATCCAAACTCATCAGCTGGTCCTCAGAAACCCTATACTGGATTGCTATGGGTCATAACCAACTCGACAGTACTTAACAGGAACAACAATCCAGAATACAGAAATCCATAGAGAAACAATGCAGATTGGTGATTTCTAGGGGCTGGGAGCAGAAAATACCAGAGAGATGTTTACCTGTGCTTTACTGACTACGCAAAGGCTTTCGATTGTATGGATCATGACAAGCTATGGACAACGTTGTGAAGTATGAGTCTTCCGGAACACTTAATTGTGCTCATGAGGAATCTATACATGGACCAAAAGGCAGTTGTTCAAACAGAACAAGGGATTACCAAATGGTTTAAAATTAAGGAACATGTGTGACAGGGTTGTATTCTTTTACCATATGTATTCAACCTGTATGCTGAGCAAATAATCCGAGAGGCTGGGTTATATGAAGAAAAACGTGGCATAAGGATTGGAGGAAGACTCATTAACAGCCTGCGATATGCAGATGATACAACCTTGTTTGCTGAAAGTGAAGAGGACTTAAAATATTTACTGATGAAGATCGAAGAGCACAGCCTTCGGTATAGATTGCATCTCAATGTAAAGAAAACAAAAATCCTCACCACTGGACTAATAAACAACATTCTTATCAATGGAGAAAAGATTGAAGTTGTCAAGGACTTCATTCTTCTTGGATCAACTATCAACACTCGTGGAAGCAGCAGTCAAGAGATCAGACGATATATTGCATTAGGCAAATCTGCTGCACAGGAACTTTTTAAAGTGTTGAAGAGCAAAGACGTCAGCTTGAGGACTAGGGTATGCCAGACTCAAGCCATGGTATTTTCAATAACCTCATATGCATGTGAAAGCTGGACAGTGAATAAGGAAGATCATAGAAGAATTGAAGCATTTGAGTCATGGTGTTGGAAGAGAACAAACAGAGCTGTGTTGGAAGAAGTGCAGCCAGAGTGCTCCTTGGAGGCCAAGATGGCCAAACTTTGTCTCTCACACTTCAGACATACTGTCAGGAGGGACCAATCACTGAAGAAGGATATGTTTGGTAGAGTGGAGGGTCAGAGAAAACGAAGAAGACCCTCAGCAAGATGCATTGGCAAAGTAGCAGCATCAATGGGCTCAAGTGTGGCAACAATTGTGAAGTTGGCCCAGGACCGGGCAGTGTTTTGTTCTGTTGTACACAGAGTCACTATGAGTCAGTACCGACTTGATTGCATCTAACAACAACAACAGGGGCTGGGAGGAGTAGGAAATGGGGAGAAACTGTCTAATGGATGTACTGATTTGAACAATGTTCCCCTCAAATTCATGTCTGTGGCCCTTCTAATTAAGTGATTTATGCAAAATGATTAGGTGGGATTATGCAAATAAGCAGCCCTGGTGGTACTGTAGGATAAGCACTAGACTGCTAACCAAAAAGTCAGCAGTTCAAACCCACCAGCTGCTCCATGGGAGAAAGACAAAAGATAAAGATTTATAGCCTCAAAAACTCGATACAGGGTCACTGAATCAGAACCAACTTGACTGCATCTAACAACAATAATAGCATGCAAATAAGATGCTTGCAGCTCACCAAGGGAATTGGACAGACTGCTAATGCAAATAAGGTGTATAGAACCCTAATGAAGGGATTGATCAGTTTTGTCATCCCACTAGGCTTTAAATGTACTGCTATCAAGTCAATTACAATTCATAGTGGCCTTGTAGAACAGAGTAGAACTGCCCCATAGGGCTCCTTAGGCCATAATCTTTATAAAAGCACACTGCCACATTTTTCTACTGCAGAGCAGCTGGTGGATTTGAACTAGCAATCTTTTGGTTAGCAGTCAAGTGATAATGAAAGGACAGCAGGGATCTCTCCACTAAGCTTACAGGGAGCCCATCCAGAAGTGAAGAGGAGGGGCCTCACCAAGAACTAGGAGTGAAGGATGTCTTTTGCACTTGAGCTGCCTGTGCTGAGAACCTCCTAGATCCAGGAGATGGAGAGAGTTGTAACACTGGAGAAGGGGAGAGACAGTGAGAAGCAGCTGCAAGCACAGTACAGGAAAGGTGAGCACAGAACCAGGAGGCCAGCGCCAGATGGCTGTGGAGGGCTTCCCAAGCCACAGAGTGAGAAAGCTGAGCACCATAAGCAGGGGCCTCGTGGGCAGAATTGGGGTGCCTCTGCACACTTACTAGCAGAGCTGAGGAGCTTTGAAACAACTGTGCAAGCAGAGCAGCAGATGAGGAGCTGAGGGCACAGCTGAGAAGCTGTCCTGATCATTGATTATAACCTGTTACTTCCCTAATAAACCCTGTAACTGAGTGCAGCCACTGCAAGAAATTGCTAAACACAGCAGAGTAGATACGCTATGTGAGAGACAGCTGGTGTCAGAATTGGGAGAAAAAGTGGAGGTCTGCTTGGCCTTTACCTCATAGAAATCCGCCTCCCAATCTCCAGTCTCCTTCCTACATGTGACGTTTAAGGACCTCTGATGGCTGTCTTTTCCAGAACCTCAGAATGTGATGTTATTTAGAAACAGGGACATAGCAATATAAATAGTTACAAGGAGGCCGTACTGCAGCAGCCTGGGTCCTTAATCCAGTAGGACTGGAGTCTGTGTAAGAAGAGGAGCGATCCCCAGTGAGAATGGCATATGAAAACAATGGTCTACAGGACAAGAACGGCCAAGGATTCACAGAAACTTCAGAAGCTAAAAGAAAGACATGGAACATACTCTCTTGTACAGCATGGTTCTGCCAACACCTTGATTTCAAACTCTCAGCCTGTAGAACTCTGAGACAATAAACATCTGTGTGTTTACAGCCATCCCAACAGTCATCCAAACTGCAGCCCTGCAACACTAACATAATGAGCTCTCCTCTGCATCTGGAGTGATGGAGAGGTCCGAGAACTAGACTGAGCGGTCTGGGAGCTAGCCTGCCCAGCAAACTGTGTGTGTGAACGTACTCAATGCCATGGGATTGTTCACTTTTAAACGGCTTGTTTTATATACTTTACCTTCACACATTAATTTAGCTTTTAAGAAAGGGTTGTTGTTGTTAAGTTCCACTGAGTCAGTTCCGACTCATAGCAATCCTGTTAAAGTAGGGTTTCCGAGGAGTGGCTGGTGAACTTGAACTGCCGACCTTGCGGTTCAAACCAACCTTGCATCCAGCGCATTAACCCACAGTGCCACATAAAAGAATAAAACAGAAATATTCTTTCTGATTTTCTATAGGAGGACAAAATGTGAATCATCTACATGAAAGCATCTACCAGAGTCTCACAGAGAGAATGAATATTCACAAAAGCAGTAAGTTATCACTGCTTTTACTCTGTTGGTAACGTGCAAGTTTGCCTGGGACATCAAGACCTGACAATATGTCCACTAAGCACTTGCAAAACAATTGGGTATTTTCTCTTATTTTTCAAAGAACTTCCTTCAGTCTTCTCCTTTTAACCCCTAATTGTGCTGGGGGTGGGGGCAATGGAAGCACCTGCCCACTTTATGCCAAGAAGGTGAGTGACCAGTTTAATGGCATGTGAAGGGATATTGTCCAACAAGAGTTCTGCCTCCAACCCCCAAAGCCAACAACGCCAGTTTAACTGGCTGTGTAAATTACTGGAGTCGGGGTAAAGGATGCTGTTCCCAAAGAGAGTCCAGGACTCAGGTGTAGGACTCAAGGGAGTCTTCCCATCCCTGCCACACACTGTTCCCAGGTAGACTCACCCAACATGATGGCATCCACGGCTCCCCCAGGACAGAACTCAATCATGATCTGCAGAAAACACAAGGCAAAAGATGAGCAGGGGCACCCAGCTCACAAACAACCCAGGCAGCATCTGATGCTCATTGCTTGTCCCTAGTTCCCTGGCCTTCCGTCCTCCCCGCAGGGACTAACTGTCCAGCCTGAGACTCTGACCCAGAAGAGTTGTTAGGACCATTCTTTTTTCAGGAAAAAACCAAGATGACCTGAAAATCTGTAGCTTCAGAGTATAGTCTGAGCTGTGAGCTCCTGCCACCTGCCAGATGCCCACTTCCTATGCCCCACCCTCAAGATCTCAGAGCCCCCCCTCAAACATACACCGCACCAGAAACTTGGCACCTGCCTCTCTCCATCTTACAGAGCCGGGGCCCTCATGGAATCAGAACTTCAGAACACCAGGGTCTTGATGACCAGCTTATCCAACATGCTCAATTTACAGATGAGGAAATCAAGGCCCAGAAAGGGGATGAGCTTGACCAAGGACTGGAAGGCAGGTTTCCTGATTCTCAGTCATTCGGGTAAGCATTCATTCATTTATTCATCATTCCCACAGCTGGTAGCAGGCCCTGGGAGAACAACCAAACCCAGGCTCTCCGGGCCAAATGTACGGACAGAGAAGGATAAAGCTCCTCCCTGATTCACTTGAACCTTCTTCACTCTTTCCTGCCCATTTTGGACTCTTAACACATGTGCATAGAAGCGCTCTCTTTTTTTATTTCAAGAGGGGGTACTGGTGGGTAGAGAAGGGAAAAGGCTTCCCAAACTTTAAGACACACTCCCAGAACCCCTGAGCTTCTGGCTCAGCTCTGCTCCCAGCCTGATGTGATGTCCCTTGGGGTAGACGCACTACTGGTCCGCTCAACATTCCAGAAGTCCCACTCTCTCTCTCTAAACAGGAAAGACAACCTCAGCAATGACCCAGCTGGGCCCAAGCCAGCAATCCAGCCAGAGGAGGGAGGAGTGGCTTCATATCCTGATGAGGCCTCCAGTTTGTGACTGACCTTCCAGAGATTTCCTGGCAATGTAACATGAGAATGGAATGAGGTACATGACTTAGGGCCAGGCCAAGTGACTTGGAGCAAGATAGTTCGAGTGGAAAGTGGGGTTGCAGCTGCTGACTCTAAAGGACTGCTGCTCTTAGCTATGGACCCACCAAGGGGTGATATTTGGGGACAAGCTGAGGCCTGGCTGCAAGAAACCACAGCAGGTTTCAAATGGGGCTGTAGCTGGGCCAGGGATGCTGGAGGCACTGGTGAGGAGGAGGCCAAGACAGACCTGCCAACCACAGTGGAATGCGAAGTGCCACGGGAGAGAACTGAGCATGGGGACCCACTCACATACCACATCCCACAGGGAGGAAAGACAGGGCCTCTGAGGCTTCTATGGCCCTTCCTGGAAAACAGACTATCAGGCCTGACCTCAGCTTCCCCACAACTTCTCTCTAACGACACACTGACCTAATACACTCAAGAAGCCACTTATTTATCCTACCATTCACTCTTTTAACCAACCGCCAACCCACCAAGCTTCATCTCCAGGGAAAAGTGGAGCCGCCAAAGGTGACTTGGACACAGGTGTTGAACTCTTGAGGCCGGCGGGCACGGCATCTGCACTGGAATGAGCCTCAGTTTATCAAGAGAGAGAAGAGTTCCAAACCCTACTGATGGCTGGGAAAAACAGTTGCACACAGGCAGTGGTGGTTTGGTCCATGTAGGGTGTTACTGTGGATAGACTCCTCCCTTGAGCTCAGTGGCTCATTTTTTGGTTTGTTTTCATGTTCTTGAGACTTCATGAGTTCTATCCTCCCTCCTTCAACTATGAACGACTGTTTGTGTGCAACTGCACATTTTTTCCAAGTCCTGAAGCAACATCACCAAACCCAGGTTAGGAATTCCTGTTTATTTTCCCTGCCATTTCCCATGTATGTGGGTTCTAGGCAATGGCTAATCCTCTCTGTAAAAAATGAGATCATACTGCCTACCTGTCAGTCCTGGAGTGGTACCATACGATAAGCACTTGACCTCAAGGTTGGTTTGAACTGCAAGGTTAGTGGTTCAAACTCACCAGCCCAGCCACTCCTCAGAGACCCTATATAGGGGTCGCTATGAGTTAGAACTGACTCAATGGCACTTAACAACAACAACGACCCCCTATAACTACAGTAGGGACTGGACAAGGTGGTGCTTTGTAAGGCAACAGGCCAAGCCTGGTACACAGTGGGCACACTGTGGGTACACATCAGGGTGCTGTGGAAAAGGTGGGAGACTTGGGCTCAAGTCCTAGTTCTCCCACTTAATTGGCCGTGTGGCCTTGTACAGCCACTTACTGTAAGTTACGTACTCTCCCTGAGCCTCCATTTCCTCACCTGTAAAATGGCACTAATAAACACTACTCCAAGCCTCACTTATTAGCATATCATCCAGGTAATAAATGAGGCTTAACACAATTAATACTAGAGTGCATTAAAATGCACAGCTACTAGGGTTCCGGTTCATACATGCACGCTTTATTCCAAACAAGATGTGTTTAAACATGTTTCCGCAATTAGCAGATGGCTGCAGACAGATTCTCTTGGTAATACCTTTGGCTTAGTCTCATTAGGGTATCTTCAAAAAGGAGGATGCTTTTTGAGCCATAAGAAAAACAAAAAAACCCCAACAATTTTGAGATCAGGACTAATGTCAAATTCTTAACAAAACCCAAATGGGCATCTTCTCAAATCACTAAAGTTTTGCCATAAGTTTATAGGAATGCTGGCCCACATAAAACAATAGCTTTTAGATGGATCAAGCATTCTAATGAAAGTCGGGAAGGCCTCAAAGTGAATTCAAGGCAGAAAAGTCAGCTCAGGAGGTTTTGGTGGGTGATTCCAAAGGGGTAAACTTGATAGATTTTCTCCAAGGACACAGACCATCATGGGGGTGTGTTAGGAAGGCATTTTCAGAAAATTAAAACCTGAAATGGTGAGAAAAAGACCAAGCAAGTTGTGTCAAGGAATTGCTTTCCACTACAATTAACCTCCTCATTCTTGGAGGGTAGCAAGAGCTGTCCTATGAGAGTTTCATGTAAACATGAAATTATCCCACCCACCTTACAGGCCTGATCTTACCCCTTCACTCTTCTTTTCATTTCTAAACTTAAAAGGAACACGATTTGAATCCCTTGAGGGTTTTGTTGTTGTTATTGTTAAGTGCCATCGAGTCAATTCCAACTCATAGTGACCCTGTATAGGGTTTTTGAGGAGCAGCTGGGGTTTGAACTGATGACCTTGTGGTTTGCAGTTCAGTGCTGATCCTACAGCGCTATACTAAGAGTCCTCTGAAGGTTTTAGCACGGCGTAAATTGAAGAGCCAGAATTCTTCAAGGGTTAGATGGAAACACAACTTTGATAAGTACATACACTTAATAGAGGTTATGTCCGGAAACAACAGCTTCACTTTTTGATATTTTTGTTGAACAAGAGTTTCAGTGATTATGGAGCAACATACATATATTTTTTAACTTACCATCTTCTGTGTTTGCTAGTTTTTATTAAATGAATTAACCAATAACTTCACACTTAGATCATGTTACTTACAGAAGTGTGCCTACGCCCTCAACTGCTATCTAGAGTCAGTAGGAGAAGTGGCCAAATCTAGGCGGTTTGACATCTTTCAGTTAAGTGACCCCTTGCGCAATCTCCCTTACACAAGGTGCCCACAATGCATCCTCCCCGGAGGCCAGAACCAGGAAGGCTCTGGTATGCTGACAATCTGGTTTGCTTCCTCTTTTGCAGCTCGAGAGCTCCAGGAACCCTGGCACTTCTCTTTTATTTTATTTATTTAGTCTTGCCTACCGGGGTGGTCTGGTAGCGTAGTGGTTATGAATCGGGCTGTAAACCTTAAGGTCAGCAGTTCGAAACTACAGCTACTCCGCGGGAGAAAGACGAGGCTTTCTACTCCCATAAAGATTTACACCCTCGGAAGCCCTGTACAGGGTTGCCATGGGTTGGAATGGACTCAACGACACTTAACAACAACAACAACCGGGGTGCTCAGGGAGGAGCTCTGGTAGCATAGAGGTTGCAAATCGGGCTGCTAACCTCAAGGTCGGCAGTTCGAAACTACCAGCTACTCCGCGGGAGAAAGATGAGGTGTTCTGCTCCCATAAAGATTTACAGCCTCAGAAACCCTGTGCAGGGTTCACTATGAGTCAGAACTGACTCCACGGCACATAACAACAACAACAACTGGGGTGCTCTGAGCTTAGTCATCTCCTTTAGCTTCGGTTTTAATCCCTTACCCTAGCTGTGCCATGCATTATACAGTTCTCAGGAGGTTTCATTACGTGGATCTTACATTTTCCCCCTTTGGCTTGTCATCAAGAGTTCAGTGGGCATGTACTTATAAACTGGTATTCTAAATTTCTCAAGGCTTTTACAGAAATGCATGGAGTTGGATAAATACAGTCTGTGGTGCTGTGGGTTAATGCACCAGACTGCAAAGTCATTTGAACTGCAAGGTCGGTGGTTCAAGCTCACCAGCTGCTCCTTGGAAACCTCATACAGGGTCACTATGGGTCAGAATCAATTCGACGGCACTTAACAACAACTACCACTTGTCTGTCAGTTTGTTGGACTGTGGTGGCTTGTGTGTTGCTGTGATGTTGGAAGCTAGGCCACTGGTGTCTCAAATACCAGTAGGGTCATGCAGCATGGTGGACAACTTTCAGCAGAGCTTCCAGACTAAGGCAGACTAGGAAGAAAAGCCTGAAAATTAGCCAGTAAAAATGACAACAGAACATTGTCCAACAGAGTGCTGGAAGGTGAGCCCTTTATGTTAGATGACACCCAAATTCCAACGTAATTACAGTAACAGACTTAAGCGTATCAGCACCTGTGAAGATGGCACAGGACTAGACAAGGTTTTGTTCTGTTGTACACAGGGTCACCGTGAGTCTTAGCCAACTTGACAGCACCTAACAACCACAAAAATGACTTAGATATCCTCCCACCCTTAAAAAACCTTTAACAT